TAACAAAGCCCGTGTGGCCGATAAACTCCTTCAGTAAGTTGCCTGATTTCATCCCATGTATTCTGAATAATCAAATTCCACAGCAAAGAGGGATGTGAATTGATGCACTTAAAGTTATTATATGAATAACCGGCCCGAGACGCAGTACCGCACGTCAGTCTCTCAGTCAGATGCACGGGGGAGGGCAAAACAGGCCGTTCCCAGAATGATAAAGTATTTGACTCAAAACAATATTAGGGATTAACGTGAAAAAAAGCGCCAACGACTATATGACCGCTTAGCAATAACAGACTGGAACAGTTTTTGTATTTGTCATTTAAATAAGTCGACTTAATTGTCTGTTCGGAACCGTCTATGTGCATCTGGAAACGGAATCGTTTGTGAAACTTCTGACCACTTTTTGGGACTGAGGGTAACGTAAATTAACAAAGACTGGGAACCTAACTTGCCTGACAGTACATACGTATGAATTAGGATTGTAAAGTTTCGCTACGAGCTAGGCGGTAGGAAAAGTGTGCAATTCGCAGAAGTTTGACGCAAGAACAGCTATCGTTTATACATAGATGCCAAAAAATGAAGATGCTGCCAAAATCTGTCAAAGTAAAGCCCGCCATAAATTCCGCTCAAGGATATCAAATTGCATGTCGTTACGGTTGAAGCATGCTTGGCGCATTCATAACTGATGCCCATTATAGACTTCAGAAACTCCAATCGTCCGAAGAACACACGCAATGTTGCCGAAAAAACCTTCCACCACTCTTACTTGAATCTCTATGTGAAACGACCGCCTGTTTTTGACATCAAACGGCAAAAGATACGAAGTATTTTAGACAAGATGTCCATGTCCATGTCTCGGTCTGGCGTCCGACAGGGTTGTATCCTGTCACCCATTCTGTTCAACTACGCTATTGACTGGATCCTCGGGAGGGCCCTACGCGACAGTGACGGCGTTGAATTTGCACCCGGACATCGACTGACTGATCTCGACTATGCCGATGGTATCGCCTTACTTGCTTCAAGTTTTGGTGATCTGCAGTCTATGGTGTCACGGGTGAACGAGGTCGCTAAATCGGTCGATTTGTCCATAAACGCTGGGAAGACCAAAGTGTTCTCAAGCTGCATCCCTGACCAGGAGAAAGCACCCCTCGGGATTGATGGCTGTCAACTTGAAGAAGTAGACAGTTTTAAATACCTCGGAGTGAGGCTGCTGCCTAATGGACAGAGTAAGGATGACATTGTTTCCCGAATCGATGCTGCCCGCTGGGTTTTTTCAAGCCTTCGGAAATGCCTGTGGAACAGACGTGACCTCTCCATCGCCACAAAGATTCGCGTGTACCGTGCATCTGTCCGGTCTGTCCTTCTTTACGGTTGTGAATGCTGGGCTTTGCGCGTGGAGGACGAGCGAAAACTGGAGGTATTTAACCACCACTGCTTGAGGACCAGCCTTCGAGTGAAGTTCACTGACTTCGTCTCAAATGAGACAGTCCGCGATCGCTGCGACAACATCTCAAGGATAACTCAGACCATCCAAGAAAGACGACTGAGGTGGTTCGAGCATGTTCTTCGTCGTCCACCTCAGGAGCTCAGTGTTACTGCCCTCGATCCGGCACCGTTGCCCCATTGGTGGCGTCGAAGAGGGGGTCAGTTCAAAACCTGGCTCGACACAGTTCGTAAAGACATGGAGGTGGCTCTTGGACCTTCGGTATTCGGTCTCCGTCGTTGGCGGAGGGAATGGGTTGAGCTGTCCAGATCTGCTGCCGCGGATCGTCACGCGTGGAGAGGTACAGTTCGGGACATCATCGAGGCCGGCTAGATCAGGCATGATCGCAGCCGTATCAAGTACAAGTAAGTAATTCCATGTCTCAGCGAACTTACGTAAACTAAAATCATCCAACTAAGGTACTAGATATGTCAGTGAGAGCCCTTACAATAACCGAATAGGATGTACTTTCCACGGGGATGAAACACAATCTCTCCTATTCATACTACCAAGATTCCCTTGTAAACCTGAAGCCCATCATATAATCAGAAAACCTCACAGAGGATGGACGCTTCGCAATCCGGAATAGCACTGTGGAAGCCCTAATGACTCGAGACGGCTTTTGAGTTTTGTCACACGAGGGAATGAAGACATTGACAAAGTGATGAAAACATTATGATTCTTCCTGCAGACGGAGGCTCAACTATAATTTTGAACAAAGAAGACCACAATACATAGAGACATGGAAGTATTTTTAGATATAAAGGTCGGCTTGAAGGTCTTTGAAAATACGGGTTGTGTTTCGGAGTACTGACCCTCCTTAGAACAAAATGAGCCGTTTTTTATTCGCGAAAGTATACAACGAGTTTCAACCAATCGACATTGGGTTAATTTCGTGCACTATTTCAAGAAAATATGTAAGCAAGAGTTGATGATGGATGAAAAATAGACACCAACTGGGCATTTGCCAAGCAGTGACTGTTTAAGGTGAATAGGAGAATTAACAGAAGAATGTCGATACATCATAGCCTCCTAAAAACTTAATAATTTTCGGTGTCAGACCAAAATTCATACGAGAACGTATGACAAAACGGCCGCGCTTTCATTTAACAGGTTCCTCGATAAAGAGGAACTGGACGGTCCAGGTGGGTGACAAAAAATTATTCATAGCGTCTTCTACAATGAACTAAAGCTACTGAATATTGACTATGTTCCATGAGGTATTCATAAGCAAATTTTGGATGGGGAAAAGCTTTCAACCATTTGTTGCTGCTTCAAGAAAATCAAAGTGTTCATAAACACAGTTGTGAAGACGGCTTTTTGAAACTGTTGACATGAGGTATCGCGTTCTTGTTAGTCCCCATGGAGAGCTGAGGCTAACAACAAAAGATCGACTAAACAGGCAAACCCCATGGCTGGTCAAAACAGAAAGGCTGCATGAATTTGTGAGGCTGATATCTGACAGAGATGAATGTCAAAACCAGATGTTTTGCCGAAAAGTATCACATTCGGTTGAGTTTTACGCACGTACGGATGTGAATAACAATATATTACTCTGTAATGAAGTCCAAAAAATAGTGTGTAGGGCACAAAAGTTAGATAACGGGTCAGACACGACAAATAATAGAACAACAAGTATCTTTCCAAGCACTACATTTTCTACATTGGGTTTAGTCAAATAAGGTCTACAGAAGATTTAGAATTGTAAATATCGTCTTGAAGAAATTGCTCACAGAATAAATAAATTGAATTCCAAGTGTAAACAAGGGGTAAGTTTTTGAGGACTACAAAAAATATTGGAGGTGAGCTGGGTACATGTCTCAACGAACATTTTAAAGCAAACATGAACAAACGAAAATAATTAGTCGCATGCCACCCTGCAGCCGAAAATCGCGAAATATACTCTATGACATTATTATGCTGGAAATATGTAGTAGACAATTGAAACGGTGAAATTGGCTTCAAAGAAGATTGCCGGTGATTTACGGGGAGAGAAGGCAGAAGGCGAGTAGTCACATGAATCAGTATTACAGGCGTAGTGCTTACAAGTAATCTAACTGTACCGTTTTGAAATTTACAATATAGGCACCACAGAGACAAGTGATTCTCTGAGATCGGCGATCGAATAGTTGCTGAAGACAATTTTTCTGTGCTGTTGATTAACTCATTTATTGTGTGCGTAATTTAATCGGTTTTGGACAACACACAACCGGCCCTCTGCCAGCGATCAGACTACTTCCAACGATAAATCGTTAACAAGAAAAAGACAATAAAAATAAGCAAGCATACCGGATTGTGTGATCAAAACTGGCTGTTAGGAGGTGTACATTATCTTTGGAGAAATGCGCGGCAGTGACTCCTTTCGCGTGCGCTTTGTCGAACCGGCGAAGGCACTGACCCGACTGTATGCGCCAAATTTTTACTTTCCCATCCTGAGAACCAGAGGCTAAGAGTTCAGAGTCACGGCTAAATGCAAGGCATAGAACGGCCTCCTCCATCATCATAAAGTTTTCCTAAAACGTAAACAAGTAACAGACGCGTCGAAATAAGCACAAGATGGAAGACGCTAAGACTTTGTGTGTTGCTTTCATAGTACCCTAAGCGGCAAACATGAGGGAATGCTTGAGGTGCATAAAAGTAGTTGATTAGCTTGTACAAGACCGCCCTGTTTTAGCTTGAAAAGATCGTCACGCTAGTTATCAGGAGTCGGTTTTTTCACTACCAATAAAAATAAAGCGTGGGTTTGACCTAATCTAAGTTGATTCTACAGAGATCACCGTTTAGCATCTACCAAAGCATAAGCTAAGACGTTCCTCCATAGGAAGTTATCGTCGGCGAATGAGGTCCGGATGGGGTCTGCACATAGGCAGGGCATTAATGTTGGACACATAAATGCAGACAGCCCTCGAAGACCAACAAATAAACGGGGCATGCTGAATGTTGGGATGCGGGATAATTCTCTAATATCCGAAGACTGAAATTCCAAGTCTCCCAATAACCGCGACGGTCTTGAAATAAGGTGATTTTTTCACTCTGGGAAGGTTGGATTGGGATATAATGACCTGAATGGATTAAATAACTTACGCAATGGATCGTAACAAGTGGCGCCAGTAAAATGACTGCTTTATAGCGATGACAGAGACATAGAACGTATGCTTCTCATCCGGGCCATATAAGGGTTGGAACCCGACTCCAAAGAGCTGAAGCCTGGATAAATGGGTTATCCTCGGACATCTGCGTCACACGAATCAAGTAATGCGAGAGTTTTGTGACAAGTGCGAGTTGCGTGTACTGCACATGGGAATGAAGATGTCCCAAACGAAAAACTACAGGCTGCATGCTTCTGGAGTCTACCAATCACTCTACAGACAGTCCAACTCTACATCCACTTTTCCACTTTAGTGTAACCTTAAAGTTGTGGTAAAGTGCAGATTGGGCCATCGTGATCTGAGGCAGAGAGCTCGGTGAACGACAATAATAATCTAAGTCATATGCTTGGGAAAGAACCTTGGAAGAGAACTTTAAGAAGTTATAATCGCGGACTGTGTGTTGTATAGGAGTAGTTCGCATGTCTCGTTGACGCATCCATAAGCACATTACAACATTGTGTCGAACTAACTACCAACAAAACTAACACAACAAGAGCAAAAGCAGCGGCGGATACCAAGGCAAAATTTCAAACCCAGTTATACTCCATACAACTTGAGTGCAAAAATAAGGATCCTGCGTAATATAACGTAGTCACCAAGAACAGAAAATCCAAAGTGCATTCGAACTAAACGTCCAGAAAGACTCACCTGAGCCTGGTATCTTAAATCCTTTCGGAGTTTTCCTGTGATGAAGTTCCATACTTCTATGAATCCGTCTACTGAGCCGGTCACAAGATACTGGCCATCTGGACTAAACAAGGCACATTCGACGTGTGACTTTTGTCCAAGCTAGGAGGAGCTATGTGAGAACGAAGAATTTTATAATACCTTTATTGCAGCCGAGAGCTGTGTAGGTGGCTTTTCTTCCTCCTGCTCTCGGACAGCTGCTTTGCCTCTAAAGACGTCGATAGCAGTACCGGGGGGCAGTAGACCCTGATGTTGCTGCCACTTTACAGCTTGACCCAAAAGTGCAAGGAGACGAGAGGGAGGCACAACGCTGACTTCTCCTGAAAGGGCCGATGCGATTGCTTGCCTGCGCTTCTCCTTCGTCTGGCCTTCAAGATACGCCTGGTAAACAGTAATCGGGTGATATCAAATTATTACCTCTCTGGGATCAAAGTAGGATCGGGCAAGAAGATTCTCCAAATGAACGTAACGGTCTGGGTGATTCTGCTTGAGCAAAATCATGGGATCTGTTTGTCTCAAAAGTGTTCGAGCGGCACCTAACTCTCTTAGTTCGATCAGTTCAATAACAATCTGACAGATATTACGCAATAATGGGCATACCTGCTCATACAAATCCATCAACTTGTGGTCAGCTAACTTAAGGTTCTGAACAACTTTTAGGACTGTATCCCAGTGGCCACTTGTGATTTCGCTCATAAAACTCTCGACTGAGTCGACTGTGTTGAGGGAAATGCCAGTCTCCTCCTAGAACACGTGTATGTTGGCTGGTTAGAACCAGCAAAAAGTCGATTGACAGTACCTGTAGAACTTGCAGAGTCCGAATAAGATTACTCTCTTTTAGATATTGTTCAATCAAACGAACGACACTAAGATTATATAGCAAATACGTTAGGGATCTTACTCTGCCGACTCAATTTCAATAGCCATCCTCAGACTCCAGCGGCTATCAATCCACAAACCTAAAAATTGTTTGTGCGGTGAACGGACATTTCATTGGTGTTGACAGAAACTCAAATAGCCTAAAGTACGTTACTCTGGGTCCTCAGTTTGCGAAACACAGTTTGCATGCTTCAAAACCACATAAAAATGTCAACCAGGACCATTCTCGCAAACGACTCGCAAGGTAAAGGGTGTGTGTCCGACTGCAAAGATAACGGTCGGGGCTAAGAAGAACAAAGCCAACCAAAAGAAAATTCACCAGCAGAAGTACCGTCTCGTCGAAAAACATTGAGAAAATAGCGGTCCGAATTTGTCCCAAACTGAACGAAAAACCCATTCACTAACGGAAATATTAAGATAGGGAAGCACTATAGCCTCCGAGTGTCTCGCTGACTCTGCCTATGGTGTAAAGTCTACGTCTGGTCGTATTCTACGGAACCATGTTGTTGGTAAACGTATTCGCTGTCTATTCGGAAACAATCAGGCGATCAAATTTGTTTGTCCCTGCTGTAAATATTTCAAAATACGATATAAGTCCACTAAAAAGAATGCTTGAAA